AATGACAGCTAACAACTAAGTAGCCTCTAGCGGCATCTATAAAGGTATTTTTTTTCTCTTTGGGAACAAAGTTCAAGTAAGAGGGACCTTTTTTTCATTTGGTATATATGCCAACAGTAGTTACATTTATAATAAAAATTCTAAAATTAAGCTACAGAAGGCCATAAACCTATATAACAAACATGAGAAATTATCTACGTTATTAACTATGGAGAGAATTGAATATCTACTAGAATAACAGACATTTATTGACTATAATTGCCAAAGATCTAAAAAAAGTAAATAAGACAACCAACTGGCAAGTACATATTCAGGGAGATTTCTTCTCAGTACCAGAAAATTATAGAACATTCATCATACAATACCAGAGGTAAAATTAAGGTGCCCTTTATGTTGGAAGGTAAGACAGTTATGGAGATGGAGAAGCGAAGTTTATGGAAGAAAAGATAGAGTGAAACATGGTTCTATGAGGAGGCTCACTCTAGACCTGTTGAGGTAGGGAAGGGGCTGCAAAGAAAGAACAATGTTCCAGAATGCCATTTCAGTTGGAAAAATGCAAACAACTCTTAGAGATATAATGGTGCCTGTGGGAAGAAATCAAAGTTGCTATGCCTGGAGCAGGCGGGAAGTACAGACACAGGGAGGCATGGGAAGAATGCCATGGGGAAACCAGCTTATTTTAAGGGAATGAGGGTGCTCTTAAAGCATTATGAACGATTTCAGAAACTAGAGTTAGGAACAAACAGAACATGTGGGAATTCAGGGTAAGGTGCTGGATTAGAAGCTGAGTCTAGGTGAATGAATGAATGAAGTTAGAAGAAGGATTAAGGTACAACAACTCTGCCAAGACTCTCACACCAAGTGGCCAGCTCACACTGTACACACCATCAAAATCCTCACTAAGCACAGTTTTCCATGGCTACCACTGCCAAAGAACAGACAGGCTCAGGGTAAGCAGATGTAAGGATAAGCTGGCTCTCTCTTGGTTATGGTCCGGTAACAGAAAGCAGTCTGGGTATGGATCCTTGGAGCAGGAACTTGCGGCTCATTGGCTTCTCATGTAAGTGACTTCTTCCAGAATAAAATATATAACCCATATTTTATCCTCATCCTGTGTATTTTAATCTGTACATCATCAGGTAAGCAAATGTAACACATCCCCTGGTAACAAATCCTTCCAGCCCGAGAATCTTTAAAGCAAGCAATGTAAGCTCACAAAATTCTCATCTGCAGGGGCATGCTGAATTGCCTGAAGACTCTGTCCTTATCATGTAGAAACTGATACAAATGACAAGCCACAGGCAGGTGGTGGTGGCAAACACCTTTAATAACAGCACTAGGGAGGCAGAGGCAGCAGAACTCTGGAGTTTGAGGCCAGCCTGGCCTACAGAGTAGGTTCAAGGACAGCCAGGGCTGTACACAGAGAAAGCCTGTCTCCAAACCCATTCCAAATCAAAACAACCCGGGGGGAAGGGAGAAGTTATATCATCATTATGAGGAAACAAAATAACCAAATACATATAATTAATAGCTGCTAATTTTTAGATTGTTATTTATTTCTTGATTCATGGTTGTTCAATGTCTTCTATAATTTTAATTTTTTATTTAAAATTTTTTACTTTAATTACTGAGCTGTGTGCTTTAACTTCTACATTACCAAAAAAGAAAAGACTTCAAAAGACTGTCCCTTCCTTTTCTTTAACTACAAAAATCTCTATATTTCCATACCTGTGACAGTCTGTCTCTCACATTCCAACCCACATACATTTCTGCCCACAACCAAATAAAGGTGGGGATCATAGTTCTCAGTGAACATCACCCTTCCAGCTTTCTGAAGAACTCATAAAAAACAAAACAGAACATTAGGAAAAGGTGGACAGTAAGACTGGAATACGCATCCATCCTAACAGATGCACAAAGAATACAACAAAGAAATACATGCAAAGAATAAGACAAATCTCCATGACACACCTGCAACCTCTCATCTCCATAAAATTACAGAGAAATAATTTAGGTTCTTATAAAAACAAAATCAGTCAATTAAACAGATGATCAAAATATGGTAAACCTTTCAGGACCTAAAAAGGAAATTAACCACAGTGAATGGAATGTTTCGGAACTTGGAGTAGAAATTTAAAACATGGAGAAAAAACCATATTTAACAAAGAAAATGAGACACTGAGGAGGAACCAAACAGAAAAAATGGAAATACAAGCCAATCAATCAAATTGGAATATTATAAAAGAATGTTTCATGAATGGACTAAGCATAAGAATGAATTTCAAAGAAAAGGACAAACTCAGAGTAATAATACATTAAGACAGATATTTTTAAATATTAACAGGATTCTCAAAACACATCAAAATTCTAACTGCATTAAAGAGACCTAACAATTCATGAATTAGAAGGCATTGGGAGGAAGTCAAAAGGTATAGAGAATTAATTCAATGAAATAATAGATCATTTTCTATACCTTGAAACTACTGAGGACAAATATTTTAAATTATAGCTATAGGCAAAATATTTCTGAACAGGCTCTAGTAGCATTTGGCATGACCCTAAGAATTGATAAAGGGGATCTGAATAGGAATCTAGTAACAAAGGAAACAATCTTAAGATTTCATAAAAAACAGCTATATGAAGTTTAAATGGTTGGGGAAGCCGAGAAACTGTAAGCAGGGTGAACAGACAGCCTACAGATTGGTAGAAAATTCTGCCACCTATATTTAGGGGGTTAATAGCTAGAATATATGAAGCACTGCAAAAATTAAACACATACACATACATGTGAAAGCATGCATGCTACAAAACAATACATAACCTAATAAACTGGACAGGCATTACCAAGAAGAAACAAAAATGAACAACAAATACTTCTTCATGCGTTTCAATACTATCAACCACCAGAGAAATGTAAATCAAAGCCATCGTGAGATTCCCTCTCCTATCAATCAGTATAGTTATCACCGAAAAAGCCAAGTATATCAAATGTATACTTTGTATCAAGGGTATAAGAGAAGAAGAACCTTAATTCACTGCTAGTGCCACGGTAACCAGAAACAGATATTATGGATATCAGTGGTGAATTTTCTAGATAATCTAAAAATAGCATCTGATACAGCTATTTCACTACATGGCACACACTACAAGACAGAACTTTGTACACTAGTCTAGTAATACAAACATACCAGCCTTACCAATTCTTTTATGAGCAATAGCAAGAAAATAGGATTACTCTATACATTTCATTTAAATGTAAACATACACAATGGTATTTTATTCAGCCATAAAGAATAGCAACTCACAACTCCTAAAGAAAAATAGATGGATCAGGAAACACATTAAATAAGGTTACCTAGACTTGGAAAGAAAAATGATGCATGTTTTCTGTCCTTTGTAGATCCTAGTAGCTTCAGGCTTTTTTTTTTTTTTTTAATTAAAATATTTTGTGTATGTGAATGTTTTGGCTGCATGTATCTTGAGCAAACCTAGTGATCACAGAGGCCAGAAAAGGCCATTCCCTGGAATGTAAGTTACAGAAGATTATGAGCTACCACATGGATGCTGGGAGTCAAACCTGGGTCTCTGGAAGAGCAGCTGATGCTCTCAACTTATAAGCCTCTCTTCAGCCCCGCCCCTGTGTGTGTGTGTGTGTGAGTGAGAGAGACAGAGAGAGAGAGAGAGAGAGAGAGAGAGAGAGAGAGAGAGAGAAAGAGAGAGAGAGAGAGAGAGAGAAATAATATACAGATCATCTAACTAGAAAGGGGATAAGGAAGAAAAAAATTTCAGAAGCAGAAAAGACACATGTGATATGAAAACAGCAAGAAGACTAAACATTGGAAAGGCATAAGGTATAATGGGTGGGGGAGGTCATCACATGCATGGGGAAAGGAATAGGGGAAGAGTACCAACAAAAACAAACTGATCTGAAATGCATAAAGAAACCCTGACTTGGTATTCTAACTGAAAAAAGAAAAAGAGACGAAAGAGGAGCTTCCTTTCCATTTCCCACTATCATATTAGACCCCTGATCGGGAACATTAAATATATGCTGGAATCCCCTGAGGACTGAATTTGATTAGAGTGTATCCAACTCTAATGTAAAGGAATAATAGAAAGTTCAGAATATTTTTGCATGGATTACTCTTACAATAATAATGTATAATTAAACAAAAGCTAAGCTTTTAGACAGAATGGCATAATCCATGACTTCAACTGGCCTCTGTCACGCATGCTTGTCTTTTTACAGTTACTGCAGTGGGTAAAATCCAGGCCTTCTGAGAGCTCACAGCGTGACAGAAGAATTATCCTGAGGAACAGCTACACTGCAGAAATGCAAGGAGCATCCATTCTGCAGGGACGTGAGGAGTACCTACCCTGTAGGGATATGTGGAGCAAACATATTGCACAACACACACTTGATGGATGCCAGGAACACAGACCCTACAGGGCCAGAAGCCAGACACTGAGAGAAACTGAATTCACGTGGGGATATTCAGAAACTGTGTTTGCTAACAAAAACCCACGTTGAAATCACTGCTGACAACTTGGATTAATTTTTAGTTTCTTCATTCATAATAATATACTGACTTGAAATCCAAAGTGGCTGTAAAACTCAATAAGTTTACAAATTGCTTCTACTATTGATGCAAAGGAGATAAGACAGTTGGGGCAGGCAGACTGAGGTGGGAAAAAAGGATTGATGGAAGGTCATCACTCTTGTATAAATTTAACTGTGAGGAGGTGGACAAAATCCCCAACACAAATTTACAGATGAACACAAACCTTATACATATTCAGCTTGACATTTAAAAATAACATATATTGAGGTATTATTAAAACATGGACAGCACAAATAAGAAATATAAGTTCTTCTCAATTTAGGGAAAATAGTTAAAGCACATGCAATTGCAAACAATCCCAGGACCAGAGGGCTATGTTAGAAGGTACAGTATTTCCCTGCGCTGGAGGAATAAATCCAACTTCAGAATCCGACTTACATTGCTCCATTGGTGTAGACAGTATCGCTTCCTTCCACATACTGCACCTGAGCTGGGTAGACATGTTGGACCTGCTGAACCGTCTGTACCTGCTGCACCTGAAACACAAATATGAGGCACGTGTTAAATGGTAGACATAGAAAAGGTTATACTACACTAGATCCATGGAAAGTGGTAGACATAGAAGAGCATTCGATCTATCTCAGATTTCTGCTGAATACCGATCAACAGATGGCTAGGGATGAAATCTGTTAGGTTCATGCTACTTTCAAGTTAAGAAACATGTGTGTTTAGATCAACTATAGCATTTACCCAAATAATTCTACAATTTTCTTTTTAGTGTAAAGTACACAGAGTTTTATGCTTTATTTATAAACTGTATACATTTATAGATTTATATACTTCTACTTTAATTTTTAAACTAAAGCTACATTTATTTTTAATTAAAATCAACCATCTCAGTCAATATAATGTTAATTGTATAAATGTGTATTTTTTCAAGGCTGACCATTTGGCATTCAAATGATGAGCTCTTTTGCCCTGAAAATATAAACACCTAAAAGTAATACTATATGTACTAAACAGGTTTTATTTTATATACTTAGAAATGCATATATCCATATGCATAATAAATGTCAATTAAAGAAAGTATTAGTTAAATAATTAGCTGTACCTAGCAAATGAATTGCCAGTCAACATTTATAAAATTCATATGAACTTCTAAATTTGGGCATCAACGTTGAATGGAGAAAACAAAGGAGACCACTTTATAGGAGACATAATTTATTTATATTTGTGTAGACATATCTGTTGGAGTGTATGCCGTTTGTATGCAAGTGTCGACAGAGGACACAGCAGCTGAAGGCATAAACAGTTGTGAACTGTTTGATGTTGGGTGCTAGGACTCAGGTCCACTGGAAGAAATTCAATGCCTCCACACTGATGAGCCCTCTCTAAATTCTAGTGATAAGAACATTTTTTAATACTGTTCAATGCAGCACTAAAATTGAGAGGTGAAATTTTCATATTGCATGCTATTTTCACTTTGTAAAATAAAACTATGATTCAAAATTGCTCAAATATTATCTGATATTTTATTAAACATTAAGTATTGTTTGGATCTGTGTTAAGAGGTTATGCATTAGAATGATTTCCTATTTTAATTTTCATTAGTTTAATACAGGGAGATTCAAATAAGTATTGAAATGGGAAACTAACTTCCTGTGGATAGTTCATCACCATCTCCAATAGCTTTATTTCTCACATGTCTTTGAAATCTCTAACCTGACCCATCTGTTGCTATGTGTCCCGCCCATGTCCATAGAAAAGGAAATGATTAAATAAGGTCTACATAAAATGGATTTCATCTTTTCATTTGCTTCACAAAATAAATTCCCAAAAAAGATTCCCAAATATTATAAATATTTTTCACCATTTTTAACTTTAGTAAAGAGTTAAAATATAAATTGGAAAAGAGATGGAGATAGTTGGATTTAACATAATTAATTAACAGTTTTTATAATTAACTATTCATTGAATAAAAGTGGCTCTAATATAGGAAATTCAAAATGCCCTTGGATCAGCATTTAAAAGCTTAGAAATTTGGCATTAATGGTGTCTCATTATCACAACATTCTATACCAGTTATTCCGTCCATTAACCAAAAAGATACTGCCACAATGTAAATTTATGAAATAATGCATTTATATTCATTGTGACTTCGTGGTAAAGAAACTTAACTGTCTCACATGAGTATGTATTTAAATAAACAGGAGCACTCATCCCACCATTCAAAGTGTGGCACTGTGAGCTTATTTAATGTACATGTTTCATGATTTGCCTTATTTTCAATAGAAATGAGTATCAAAGCAAATTACACTCCATAGAAACATGTGCTAGTTCAACAGAATCAATTAGTATATTTTGGGGACAAATTTACACAATATGTTATTTTGGATGTGTTTCAAGAAGAAGAACATGAATCATACTTCAAAGCAGAAATCCTTCTCAATAGTAAATGAAACCATGTATAATTGTTAAGTTCATTAGTCAGCTAAGATGCTTTCTAGTATATTTGTAAAAAAAAAAAAAAAAAAAAAAAAAAACCTCATGTTAAGATAATTACTTGCTAATAAGAGTATTCCTTATACATTTAGTTGGTGCCAAATGCTGTAAGTGTTCATCCTAAGAAGTACATAAAGCTGTGTCAACATCACTATGACAGGCCTAAAAGAGACATGAGATTGCTCTATTCAGACTAAAAAGGTAGATATAAGAGCATTTGGGTGAAAGGCTGCTATGTGACTGACCAAACAGAAAATGGGAGGGAAAGAATCCTGTAATAGCAGATCTAATATCAGGAAGAAAACTACCATTACAACAGCATCAACTCCAAGTCGCCTATGATGACAGAGAAGGACTCAGCAAAGATCCTGTAACATAAATTAATAAAAGACCCAAAGACTGATATTGGGCCTCAAACTTCAAGCTGAATTTCAGAAAAGCAAAGCAGCTGGCTACTAGCTCTCACCTTCAGCTCAAGCTGAAAGGGCTGATCCATGCATGAGCTCTTCACCAAGTCTCAAATTGCTGCCTCTCCTCAGCATGGCTGGAGAATGAATGCCTCTCTGAGACCTTGCTTCTGTCTTACACACTTCCCTAATGTTGGTATTAAAAGTGTGAGCTATAATTCTCTTTTAGACTGATTCTCTCTTGTGTATATCTGGGTGGCCTTGGACTCACGGAGTCTACCTCTTATTCCTGAGTCCTAGGATTAAAGGTGTGTACCACTACCTCCTAGCTTCTGGATGCTGGGATTAAAGGTGTGTGTCTCCACTGCCTGATCTCTATAGCTTGAGGCTGACTTTGCTTTTCAAAAATCCTCAGTCAAACTTTAATAAATCATAAATAATGTATCACCACATTTCCAAACTAGCAAACTGGAGGGATATGATGTAACTGAGGTAAAACTGTAAAAGTCAAGAAGATAGTGTGAGCAAGATAGATCAAGATGCCAGGGGGTGGGGGGGAAAGGCACAAAGGGAAAACTGGTTTATCTGGTTTATCTAACAAGCTGGGAGTTGGGAAAATATAAACCATAAACATAACACTCTCTCTCTCTCTCTCTCTCTCTCTCTCTCTCTCTCTCTCTCACTCTCTCCCCCTCTCCCTCTGCTCTGCTCTGATTAAAATAATATAAATTCTATTAATGTCTTACCAAGAAGACTCCTACCATCTTTATGACCATCAGACTAACTGTAGGTAAAGACCATTGACTCATGAGCACAGAATGGCAGTGAACAAGGTATGGTAAAGTCCAAGAACACTTTAGTGGGGAACTTACTGAAATTATCTCCTATTGCATTTTTTGAAGAAAAGAAACTTCTCTACAATCTTAACATCTATAGACTTCATCCTAGATCAGTCAATGTTAATGAAAACAAGAGTGATGGGAGATGTCATTCTGTAAATGTTTCTCATACTGTTAATGAATAAAGCCATATTGGCCAATAGGAAAACAAGATAGGAGGGGCTAGAAGACAAGGAGGAAAGAGGAAGTAGTAAGGAGGAGTCAGCATGGAGAGACCGGGTAGACCAGATGCCTGCACCACTCCCTGGTAAGGAGAACATGTGAAAATACATAGATCAACAGAAATGGGTTAATACTTAAGACAGAGCTAGCCGATAAGAAACTAGTACCTGGCCAACAGCATTATATCAAATACATAGTCTCTGTGCATTATTTGGGGCTAGCATGGCGGCGGGACAAGACCAGCGGCGGGAGGAAAAACCTTACTCCTTACACAAGAGTTTCAGTCTTCTCTGTGTGGTGGCTCATTCACAAAGAAAATGGAAGATTGGATAGCAGGAAATGAGTCTTATTTAAAGGAGAGATTGCACTCTAAAAGAAACATGAATTTGTTTGCTTACATTACAGACACACTCTGTGGCTCTGAGGTTAGCTAGCCTGTCTACTTACAACACTTTGTAGTTTCTGTTTTGAAGAAAATCTCAGTTTTCTAGATATACTTTCTGAAGTAGACTTTAAGTGAGTCTTCTTCAATTCACCACAGTAAAATAATCACAAAGGCCATGTCTGCAGCGGGACTATAGACAAAATGAAACACAAGTTCCATGGGATGACTTGCTATGGGCGACCTGAAGAAGTTATGCTTGGCTCCAAATATAGTCATAATGTGGTACACTACTGATAGACTCAGTCTCCTTCTGACCACACAAGAAACTGGGAAATCAAATAGTAGAGCATTAACTCCAGAAGATATTCCTATTTGCCTCCCATCCATCATATCCTCAAAAGGATTAACATAAGAACACAGAAGCCACTGGAAAGAGGTAAAGTGTTCAAAGGCAAGGAGCAAAGTCCAGAGAGCAGAGAGTGAAACTCAGGGAAGTTAGTTTATACAATTCTCAATCACAAAATCCAATGGGTATTACATAGATAAACTTATTTTTGCTGTGAAATATGAATACAGTAATTGCTTTCTACAATGATTAACATTTTACCATTGTTATAAGTTCTTAAACATTATTTCTTTCAAGGCCCACTAGAGTAAATCACTACTAAAATCTATACTAAGTAACACACTTTGATGTATTTCCTGGTGAGAATGCCTATAAAAAAAAAATCTCACACTGGATCTAAGATCTCCTGGAATGATGTCTATGTGCAGGGAAACAGAGAAGGTTCTTGTAGGGTAGGGTTCCTGAGTTAAGAACATCTAGTATTAAGCTTAAGTGTCAGCATCCTAGTCTTCCTCCAGTGTTTTTCGAAATTCAGGAAAAATCTAAATAACAAGATATAATGTGCTTCTATTAATCGGTTTTCTTTGCTCAATAACACAAATTAGAGCCTGTGTGTGTGTGTGTATGTGTGAATGTATATACATCCACCAAAAGCTATTGTTAATTGACTTTAGAGTAGTCTACAAAATGGACAAAGATTATTTAAATGTTTCACTTTCAAGGAGTATTTGGAAGACTTTTGTATTATATAAAGTGCTATGAAGAAGTAAGGAATTGTTGATACAGCTCAGTGATAGAGCACTTGCCTAGCATGTATGAGACCATGAATTCCACC